ATACATTTGGGACAGCAGGAAAGAACTTTTTGTCAAAAATCGAATAGTTGGGATCGAAAGTAGTTGTTTGCATTTTTGGTTGAGAAGTTGCGTATACAAAGTTGAAGTTTTTTATTTTACTTGTGGTTGTTGTGTTTGCGACAAGTACGCTTTGAGCGGTCCTTCTTTCATAACTTTTGAACAGAATACGTTAATGTTAATTATTGTCAAAGATTTGAATTAATTTAATGACATCATTAGCTTTGGACGTATTATTACGAATGAAAGTAACATAAGGTATTTAAACACATAACTTTGTTAATTATATGGTCGTTATCTTCAAAATATTATGTATTGTATTCGCATTGTCAAAATTTTTACTATGCAGTATCTTGAATTGTATGATTTCATCAATACAAAAGATAAGTTTCTACACTACACAGACATTACAATTATTAATTCTTTGTGTTTTTTTCATATTGAAAGAAAATTTACTTAATGTATTATGTAACGATATCATTTAATAATCACGTTATTTATAAATTCTGTGCTATAATACAAATGATAGTCACATGGCCAAATCATTTTCATATCATATTAGTAACCAAATGACATAAACATACAAATTTCAAACGAGGTTTATTTTTCATCACTCAATATTTATTTATTATTTTTTTTTTCCGAATTAAGAATCACTTGATAAAACTATCTTGGATAAAATATTGTCATGTATTGTTAGGAAAATTCAACGAATAGAAACCATCATCAATTCATGTGATAACAATTCAACCAAAGAACTTGAATCAAAGGCTTTGCCAAAATTGGATGTTGAAGAAAAATAATGACCTCCACCTCATTGGGAATGAAACATTGGATTGCTATCAATCTTGATTATCATAATTGCGGAAGAGAACAATACATGACCCGACCATTAATTCAAATTGCCAAATAATAAATTTATCACGTTAAAGGAATCAAAAAACCAATTCGCAATTGCTTTGTTCATTTCATTCAATTAGGCAATTTTGAATATATGTAATTTTTTTTTTAATAAATTACTTTTTGACTGCTTCGAGCTTATGTGATCGAAATGGTTTCTCCCTCCATATTTTGCTTTTTTAAATTTCTCATTCGGAAGTAAAATGTAATGATTTTATTTTAAATTCTTTTTTTAATCTGCTTCAATCCAAAATGATAGTTTTATTAAAAAAAAAAATAATAATAGCCGCCAATATTTACGTCAAAAAATGATTATTTATAAAAATCTTATGTCGCATTAATTTAGCTACAGTTAAAAGTGAAACAGTAAGCAAGGCCAGGTATTTTTTTTTCATATATGTATTGTTATATTCTGTATTACATAAATAAAATTGTTACATCCATTCTTTTGTCGCTTTCTTTTAAACAAAATCTGATATAACAATAATCATTATACGTGTTTTGCTTCGTTATAAAATAGTATTTGAATGGGAAGGGCTTCCTGTTAATGAGGATATGAATAAAGAAGATCCAGAAGATGAATGTGATGAATCCGTTGAAGTTAGCATGAATGAGGTATATTACTATTATTGCAATGAATGTCATACAACTGTTTAAACTAAGAAGAAGCGTGGTAAGGACGAAAAATTTTAATTAAAGGGTCACGAAAATAATATGTAACAAATTCACATTTTTCGAATTTATTATAATAAAGTTTATTATGTGTGGTCACGTGATAAAAATCCTGAATTTTCGTAAAGACACGTCGGGTCACGAGGATCTAAAAATTTACCTTGCCCGGCCTAATATATTCCGACAATAATTCGAGTCCTGCGTAAAATAATTGTTTCATAGGTGAAGTGAAATACAAATCAAAATTATCATTAATATTATAGGGATTTCTTCGGGAAATATTTCATTACCCACTATTCCAAGGGAATGATTATCTGCTGCTTTGATAAATGGTCTACCTAGTAAAACTTCTGGAGCAATATAAGCAATGCCCAAACTCACTACCTTCCTTTTATAGTTTTCTTTGCTCTTATTTGCTGCAATACAAGCAGACATGTTGCAATATGCGTCGTTAAAATATATGATTTTTCATTACATTTTTTAATTTCTTAAATTTCCATAAATAATCACGCATATTTCTCATCTTATATAATATGCAATAATCACCTTAAAATTTTTACTAGCTGGATTTTGTGTTACTGCAATACACCTAACAAATTTATCATAATAAACGATTATGTGATTCCATCTAATAAATATTGAGAATTTTATATAATTGTTTTATTTTGTCGATGTACACTCCCCGGTCAAAAGTATTGGACACGTGATTTTGATACTCAAATTGATGTAATTCTATCGATCATAACTTTTGATAAAATGCATAAAAATGAACCAAATTTTTTTTCCTACATAGTTAAAAGCTTTAATATTTGAATATAAATATATGTTTTAGTGCTAAAAATCTAAGAACTTATTGAATTTGAACAAGGTGAAAAAGTTGGCCTCTGGAAAGGTGTCTACAGCAAACGAAATATTATAGATATTCTTGTCCATTCTATCTCATTTTTTTATTGTTTCAAAATGATGCTCATTATTGAATTTGGTGTTATCTTCATGAAAATTATGATATAAATTATTTAATTTCCACTGTAAATTCAGGAAAATAAGACATAATACAGAGGGTTATCAAAAGTTTCCGAAATGCGATTTTTGGAATGCAATTGATATACAAAAAAGGTAATATTTATTATACAAATATGGTTTGTTTTTGTTTATTTTGTTTTAAAAAACATTTCTAACTTCAAATTTTCTTTCTAATTTCATTTTTTTTTTACAAATCATGGTTACAACTACAACAATGGGAAAAAATAACAAATTAACTGCGGAACAATGAGGTGCTATATTTTATCTTCATAAAAATGGTAATTCATATAATCAGATTGCAGAAACTGTTGAAAGTGAAAAAACAACAGTTTATGATACATTAAAAAGACATGCTGAAACTGGATCTGTTGATTCTAAGCCTCGTCCCAGATGTCTGTCTGATCGATGTCACAAATCGCAATTGACTTAAACATTTAGTAACAAATGAAAAAGCACAAAATTGACGGTTATGTGCTACTGGAATAAAAGAACTATAGAAAAAAACAAGTCAGAATGTTTCAGAAATTACCATTCATCACATCCTTCATTCACTTGAAATAAGAAGTTGTGTGCACAGTAAAAACCTCTCATTTTACCAACAAATAAAGAGACATGACTTGCATGAAGCTTAGAACATGAAAGCTAGACAAAAAATGATTGGTCAAAAGTACTATGGAGTGATAAATTGACCTTTACCCAATTCTAGTAAAGTCGTACTAGCAGAGTATGGAGAGAACCAGAAGATGAATGGTCACTCTTTTGTGTTTAATTACGTATACTATTAGTGATTGTGAGTCCTCAAATTTAGTGAACATAAATGTTGATTTAACTTCTATCAGATTTAACTGAAGTAAATGCATCTAATAAAAAAAATAATAATAAAAGTACATTAAAAACAAATATACAGAGGGTGGACAAAAGTATCTACACACTTTTTCACTCAATATAAAACTTCAAAAAATTTTGCATTAACTATAAAAGGTTAATTAATATTTATTTAAAGCTGATTAAGATCTAAATTTTGTACTAAGTAACTAGTACTTAGTTGGGCCACTATTTGCCACAATCACGGCTTGAATTTATTGTAGCATACTATCGACTAGGTTTTTGATAGTATGCTTTGGAATTTCTTTCCATGCCTTTTTAACATATCAGTCAAGAACAGCAAGATTAGATGGAGGTTTTTTATAAGCTCGGATAGTTTTCTTGACTTTAGCCCAAAGATTCTCAATCAGATTAAGATCGGGGCTTTATACTGGCTAAGATAATATCTGAAGATTGTTTTCTGCTTGAAAAGACATTGCAACCTTTGATTTATGAGGCCGAGCATTATCTTCTTGAAACCAGCCATCATAATTTGAAAAAGATTTTCTCATAGCCGGAACAACATATTTACGAAGAATGATGATATGTGAATTACCAGTTGCTGTTCCAGATAATGGAACAATTAGCCCCATACTTTTTTTTGAAAAGCAGCCCCAGTACATTCGACTAGGGCTATGTTTTACTGTAGTTATAACACAGGATAAAGTCCATTCATCCTTCGGTTCACGCCAAACCTTACTAGAGCAGCTTTGTTGAAATTGAGAGAATGTGGATTCATCACTTCACAAGACTTTTGACCAATCTGCTTTAGTTCAGCTTTGATGTTCTAAACACCATTCAAGACGCGCCTCAATATTTACTGGTGAAATTAATGGTTTTTTCTTGCAACACAATTTTTTAATCCAGCTAAATGGAGGGTTTGTCTAATTGTCTTGGTCAAAACATCTTGCCCAGTCTTCTTCTTCCAAAGCTGTTGTATTTCAGCTGCACATAGACGACAATTTTTAGTTTTATCATTCGTTACGATTTGTTTAAGGTAATTTCGTTGTGAGATTGGAATTAAAGGCGGACGTCCAGAACGATGCATCGATTTGGTTGATCTGGTATTATGATATCGAATAATAGTGTCACAAACAGTTGACACTCCACAATCAACGGTATTAGCAATGGTCTGATAACTATCACCATATTGATAGCAATAAATTATGGCTCCGTGTTGTTCTGCAGTTAATTCTTTAGTTTTTAACATTTTTTTTATTTAGAGTTTCGGAGAAGGAAATTTATTAAAAAAAAAATTAAAATTGTTGTTTTTTATGTTTATAATATAAATAAACACTAACATGTCATATGATCGCAATTTGT